ATGCATACCAATTCTTCTGTTTTTGAGATGTTTTTGGATCTTCTATAACGTTGGGATGATCCAGTCGCTGATTGTAAAGGACCTTAGATTGAAGAAGAAGCTTGTTATGAAATCAAAGTATTCTAGTATTTACGTAACGTTTTCTGGCTATGGTAAAAAATCAATTTTTTTTAAGGATAGGATAAATATACGATATTCAACACCATCAATACTCTTATGACTTGGACGAAGGGCTTTTGTTTGGAATGTCGGCTTTGGAATCTCACTAATCAACTATTAAGAATCCGATGATACAAAAACTCACCCAATTATATATACAAGAAAAAGTAATGTTTGTTAGTTAATTAGAAAAAAGAGATGTATCTTATAGACGCGATAATTGGAATTTATATTTCTTTGCAGATGCAATCTTTATAAAACCTAAAAATATATGGGATCCAATGGAAGAAGCAATTTAAGAATATATTTATCATAGCAGTAGGTTTTGTCCTGTTTCGCAAAGTAGTTTGCTTGACAATGCCTAAATTCCATGACTTGAATAGTTTTATTTGCTATCTTTAGACTAAAAATCATACATTAATCTTCACCACGAGGCCGAGTCGCTGTGGATTTGATATTTGAGGTTGAAAATTGATTCTTCTGTTGCTGTGACTTTAACTGTCAGGGAAATGCCGGTGGCAGTGGTACTTGACACATAATCCGTCATGCATTTAGAGGGGTATTAACCCGCACTACACTGGACAGGATTTCTGCAAATGCACTTAGTTACTTTTCGGTTGTTAGTGCTTTTGCAGTCTGGGCTGTTGTATGTTTGACAGCAAATACCGTCAGCGTTCCACTTCTGGTCACAGCTGCTTGAATTGCATTTCATGGAACAAAAATCGTGACGATGGTTGCATATCTGACGGCATTCTGTTCCGCTGCATTCCAGATGACATGTGTTGAAATTGCATATTTTTGTGCAATTATCTCCATTGCACAGCAAATTACATTAGTAGTTATCCCTATTACATATCTGCATACATTTCGTCTCTTTGTAAACCTTTCTGCATGGATTTCTATTTTTGTTACAAACCTGCGGAGAGTTCTTTCCAGCAGTTGAAGCCTTTTAAAACACTATGAAGCTCCTGCTTTCCTTATTCATATTTTCATCTTTCTCCAGCATACAATTAAACATATCTTGCAGAGGGTTTAAGTTTTTCAAAGCATAATATTATTTTCGTATTATGCTTAACCGATGCAAATGTCATGCACAGGCGAGTCTTTTCGCGCAAAAAAGACTACCCTTAAAAAGCCCTTCCTTAGCCAGACTGTACCCAAGTTGATTTTAGGTTGAATGCGAAAAGCTGATTGAAATTCAAGCATTGGTCCGCCAAAAATTATCCGAGAAACCCAAGCCGATTACAGCGCGTTAAATGCGCTTACCGTTTTCCTTAATTTAGCGAGCAGATGGTTGAAAAAATTAAATGAGTGCGCGAGCAGGAGAAAGGATGCCATTCTTGGTAAAGAGATACCAAAATACGTATTAAATCAGCTTTTTAAGATAGTTTTAGTTGCAAATCGGCAATGGGTTAAGAAAGTTCTTTAAAATGTTTTACAAATCCATATTAATAGGATATGTGGGATATGTAGATGTAAAGAAAATGAAACTTAGCGAAATACCTCGCCATTATAGCGCTAAAAAGAACTAACTTGTAACATGCGAGTTTATACTTACCTGTACATAATGAAGAGACCAAAAATAGTGCAAATTTATGAAAATCATCCATCTCTTTGGAGGTTGACGTGTCGCGACTTCGTTTTCAGTTAGACCATTAAACGTGTTGAGATCAGCTAATCACCTAGAAGCAATCATAAGGTTGTGTCCGTATGATGTGTATCAAATACTTTTGGGATCATGGCAGGAATACTATTTGTTGATATTTGAAAAATTTTCTCCTCTTAAAGAATAAATCAAGTCTGTCATGTTTTTTTTTTTAAGCACCAGTCAGGCTTTTATAGAGCCGTTTTTATGGCCATGGCGTTGAGCGTAGAATTGAGTGTCATGCAAATTATTGCCATCTGGACTTTTATTCTCCATTTTAATTGAAATTTCACCTACTAAAGGGCATTTGAATATTAGAATAGCTTATCTGTCAAATCCAAATAAATTTTAGAGACGGTTTTCTAGAAGTCTCGTAATTCTCTTTGTTAATACCTTTTACCATCCATCAACTCAAATATTATCTTTCCAGCAAAGAACTTTTCCTTCGCTCGAGCGGACTGCACTGAAACCTTATCAATGCATTGAAGGAAGTCGTAACATGATTTTTTTATTTGTTTGGTTTACGTGTTAACTCAGGAACAAAGTAATTCTCCCCCGTCACAACTGACGCACTGCTATCCTAAAATGACTGCTTCCCGTAATTAGCAAAATGCTTTAAATTTTACTCGTAAGTTCCATTTTATTCTATGAATGTATAATTACGAGGAAGATTATAATTTTTCTTGCTCGTGAGGCTTGACCTCTTCACCGTATGCAATTGCACATCATTTATGTCACTTACATCTCACAATTGAGAATATAACATGGTCGTCTTGGTAACCAGGTATTATAGCTGCACGTGATTATTTTTCATGAAACATTAGTGATTCTAAAGTTAACTTTACTCTTTTGATATTGTGATCATTATTCATAATTCATATTATTATTGCAGAGAAATCAACTGAATGCTACATTCAGTTAATTTATTATTATTTATTA